TGCATATGATGTTATTAGAACTGTTAAACAAAACTGACTGTCTTTTTTAAAAAATTGATTTGAGAGGGAGGGAGGGAGGGGGAAGGAGGGAGAGAGAAAGAGAGCAAGAGAGATAAGCTTGTTGTTTCACTTATTTGTGCATTCATTGGTTGATTCTTATATGTGCCCTGACCATGAATCCAACCTGCAACCTTGGCGTATTGGGGCAACACTCTAACCAACTGAACTAACTACCCAGCCACAGTCAAAGCTGACTTTTTTACATGGCAGGATTCTACATTACCTAGATTAACTAGCACAAGAAAAGTTTAAGATCCCTAGATAAAAATTTCAAGTTTTAAAAACAAAAGATTGAAATAATTGTGATAGCAAATTATTAAGCCATTCTTTGAATTAAGTCTATATTATTTCATTTTCCTGCAGAATACCACAGTTTAGTAAGTAGTATTAGCATCCTCACTTGATATTTGATGTTCTGAAAGATTACAAAACCTACCCATGGTTGCATAATCAACAGAACAATGTTTAGCTTTGTCCGTACCAAGGTACAAGGCCCCAGTTCACTCTACTATCCTGTCTTTGGCACTACTTAAATAGGTATTCAGAAAGGAAACCTTTAAGATTTGCCTTTCCCAATGCTAAAAAAGCTATATCTAATCTTACAAAGACATTTTAACACATTTTAAGCACCTGGATTAACTATAACATATAAATATTAAATAATAAGCGTGGCAGGACTTTATTTCTATGGACAAAGTCTTAGAACCTTAATTAATGAAGGTATTTTTACATGAACTAATTTTTGAAAAATCTATAGGGAAATACAAATTAAAACAATGAGATACCACCACTCACCTATTAAAATAGCTAAAATCTAAAACATTGAGAATATCAAATGCTGGTGATGATGGAACAACAATTCTGTTTTCTTTGCTAGTCAGAATACAAAATGATACATCAGTGTTGGAAGATAGTTTGGTGATTTCTTACAAAGCTAAATGTGGTCTAACAATATGATCCAGCAAGCTTATTCCTCAGTATTTATTCAAGTGTGTCAACAACTTATTTCCACAGAAAAATCTGCATATGAATGTTTACAGCAGTTTTAGTCATAATTGCCAAAAAAAAATGGAAGCTACAAGATGTAGCTCTCAGTAAGTGAATAAACAATGTACATCCACACAGAGGAGTATTATTCAGTAATAAAAAGAACTGAGCAATCAAGCCACAAAAATACATGAAGGAACCTTAAATGCAAATTACTAAGTGAAATAAACCAGTCTGAAAAGGCTACCTACTATATGGTTCTGATTATATGACATTCTGAAAAAGGCAAACCAATAAAGACAGTAAAAAAATGAGTGCTTATCAGGAATTAAGGACAGAAGTGGGAGAAGAATGAGTTGGTACAGCATAAGGGATTTCTCGGGAAGTGAAACTACTGAACCCATTTTGCGTGACACTAGAAAGATGGATACATGACACTATACATTTACATGATGCATTATGCACCTTGCACTGGTGGGGCACATTCGTTACAAATGATGAACCATTATTAATTAATTCATTATTATTAACTAAAGTCCGTAGTTTACATTAAGGTAATAAGCTCACTGTGTTGTACAATTCTGTGGGGCTTTCATAATGCATAATGGATGTTATGATAACCTAAGTAACAGATGTACTTTCTACTCAATTTTTATAAACCTCAAGCTGAAGTGAAAACTAAACACTATTAATTATTTTAAAATCCACAGGTTATGAACTACAGCAAAAGGATAATTATAAAAATTATTCAACAAAAGAATATGCAAAATAAGTTTTTTGTAAAAATAACACAAGTTGGAAAGAATAAATCAAAATATGGAAATTCCATCACAGTTTATAGAGAAATACATAAGCATTAAAATAAAATGTTTTAAAAACAAAGAAACCTGAGAAATGGATTCTTAATTTTCCTACTGACATGAAATTACTAGTGTAACTTTGTTTTTATCCCATATTATAAATGGAGAAACTATTTATTAGTTTAGCTTTTAGTGAATTTCAAAATATGTACTACTCCTTACAAAAATTTAATACATAAATATTTTTAAAATCTGTTCTATGTAAATGTCATTTTAAAAAGATATTTACTAGAAATAATCTCCCTAGGAAAAAAAAGAATTAATTTCTAAAAAGAAAACACATAGCATAATTCAATATTGTTTTATCTTAAATTATTTACACATTTTGTTTTGCTACCAAACATTCACAGGTTTAAAAGGTTAAACCACTAAATTAGAGAGAATTTTAATACCAGGATATATCCTTCTTAAAAATCTTGAAGATGCAAAAACTTGTAGTGCATGAACATTCTGCTCACAATCTTTTCCTCAAAAAGAGATTAACAGATGATGTCGAGATCAGATCTTGACCTAGATATTGTTCTTGACACCAGAAATTGTTCTTGACACCAAGACACCAGAAATATATAAAATCACCTACAAAGGTTTAACATTTTCTGAAGATTTTAAGGGTTATTATGTAGAACCTCAAATCATTCTAAAAATCTGATGCTTTAAAAAAGGTTTTACTGCCATCAAACATTATTTTAACTAAATAATGTTCTGGGTTAGTTAGAAATTTAGCAAAAATATTTGTTTATAGCTTTATAAATGAAGACTATTTTAAAGAAATTATAGTAAATATAGTGAAATGTATGTGCTATCTTTGTAACATATATAACAGATATTTTCCTTGCCCTGGAATTCCCAAGCAAGAGCAAAATCTGCTTCTTTGTTGGTGGGAATGCAAAATGATACAGCCATGCTGGAAGACAGTTTTGCAATTTCTTACAAAGCTAATAAACATGACTAGAGGGTCAAAAGTAATTTTAGACTCTTCACGAAAGACTGATCTTTTCTTAATATAGGTAAGTACATAGAATTCCAAAAGGAACTTTTTTTTTCATAAATAATACCCTAAAAGAACAAATATCAACTAAACTGGAAATCTGCTTTAAAATTTACATATAAATATAAAAATGTATTATGTATGTCTGTAAACTTAAACAGATCGAAAGCAGTGTTTGAAAAAGCAATCTTTGTTATATTTTACTAAACAAGAAATGTTGTAAGTAAATGAAAAGGGTCGCTGAGATGAAATCGCATGTTCCTATTTCCTGTTTAATTGGTGACAGTTCACACATCTTCAACCCTGACCCACGTAGACTGCCAGTGTCCACTCACTGGGACAACTTCATCCTGATGCCAATCAATACAAGCTTTTAACGCTGAAACTTTGCTTGACGCTGTGCTATTGCAAACATAAAGCCTTTTCAAATGGCACTATTTCTTTTCTGTCATTTTTTAGACTCTCTTAAATAAAATGATTTCATTATAATTGTTCACATGTTGTTAGAATATTAAGTAAAGAAAAAATATACAAAAAGAAACAAAAAATATACAAAAGATTAGCCAGTGAAGGCTTAGAACCAAGACACCCCACATAAAGACTAAATTAATCTGTGGAAAGAGATGACCAAAATCAGGAGAAATGAGTGCTAATACTTCGTGTGCAACAAGTAGCTTGCCTATAAAAATGAAGACCTGATATTAGTAATCCCTTCTACTAGAAAATGTAAAAACTGATAACTATACAAATCGCCAAAGGCATCCTATTGTTTCTTTCAGACAATTAAAAGCCAAATTCGAAGCAGGGTAATGTAAGTAAGTATGTACTAATGCATTAAGTATACGTGCAGAAAAAGTTAACATAGCAGATCTATGTTTTAAAATACCTGCTAACAGTCTGATCCTTGCCTGGCAGGAGACTTGGATTTTGAGAGGGTCCCCATGATTCTCTGACAGGATATAAAGTGTTTTATATATAAAACACTGAATATAAAGTATTTGTAAAAATAATGTGGTTTATGCTGAACACCTGCTTTTCTTTGGAGGGGTCTAGAATTTTGGTACATGCTAGACACTGACTTCTGATGAAAATCCTGGCCTGCTAGACTCAAAATGAGATTCCCTGGAAGACAGCACTTCTTGCATGATGTCAGAACCTATGGCCGAAGAATGAGGAGTGTTCTAACTCCAGTGGGAGAGGACCCTTGGAAGTATGCACCTGGCTTCCTCTGGACTTCACCATATACCTGCACATTTTCCCTTTGCTAATTTTGCTCCATGTACTTTCACTATAATAAATCACAGCTGCCAGCATGACTATCTGATTAGTGCAGTGAAAGCCCCTAGTAAATCACCAAAACTTAGGGTACTTTTGGAAATCTCCAACATGATATATAAAATATTTAAAATTTTGGACTACAAAGGAAACTACTTACACCATGACACTAGAACATTAGAGAAATTTTTTCTTTGGAACCCCAGGTGTTAGTATTTAATAATGAATAATCAGTTATTCTATTAGTCATTATCAAAAACATAACAAAATGAATGAATAAAATATAGTCAGGGTTTCCTAAGCACAGAATGAAATCTTATTGCTCATGAGGCCAGCAGATCTGTTGAAAATAGGAGAGGGATTTCAGAATTCAGAACACGAATATAGCAATGTCCCGTTTAGGAGACATTAACAACTGAAGGGATCCTACCATCTTCAGTGAAGACTTTATAAGACATTATAATAACCACTAAATAAATCCCTTATTTACCAAAATGTTTCATCTTATTCTCGAGTAGAACTTTAAAAGACATTTATAATAAATCATTTATATTAAAGAAAAAGGGAAAATATTATATGAATTTCAGAAATTATGCTATAAATAGTATTATGCAATAATACTATTGCATAGTATTATTGCAAGAAGCCACTCAATAAACAAATGTGTTTATATATATATTGCCTAAAATATTTGTGGTTTTCAAGAAAAACACTTATTTTACTATAGCTATTTGACATGTAGCCTCAATGTAAGATAGAAACACAAATAACACTCACTATCTCCTTACATTCTTCAATGAAAAGACAAAGATATTTTCATGTAGACATACCTTAACTATTTCTTCAATGAAACAAATGTGAGAAACAGGATCTCTCTTCTTGGCTAATATTTTTTGTAGATGTTGAACCTAAAAAGGGGAAGAGAGGCAAAATGTATGTAATTGGGACTTTCAAATGAAACAAGTGGAAAGAGCAGGCACCAGAAAAAGCAAGGGAAGGGAAATGACATTTTGCTAGAAGCTTTCCATACATGATAATTAGCTAAATGAAGTTATTTTGAATGTTCAGAGATTTTAAGAAACCTGCCCTAGGTCACACAACTTGAAATGCCCTGGAGTTAATCCATAATTAATGTTTTTCTCACTCTAAAAAAAGTTACCTGTCCACAGACAGTACAAATATGATCCACAAGTTTCTCCATATTGGTCCAGAGGGAAGCACGAAAAGCAGCTGTGTTTCCTGGGGCTGGCAAGGTGGATCGTCCAGGTCCCCCTATTCATGTGAGTGAGAAAAAAACAGAAAAAATAAGATTCTCCAATTATAACAATTGTATGTTATTATAAAAAGCTAAAAAATTAGGAGTCCCTTCTTTCAGAAATAATTTCTTATAAGTAACATAGTAACAAATGTTAGCCTTTTTTGTTTTAGAAAAAAAGGGAGGCCCTGGATGGGTGGCTTAGTTGGTTACAGCATCATCCTGATACACCAAGGTTGTGGGTTCAATGGTCAGAGCACATACAAGCAGCAACCGATGAAGGCATAAATAAGTGAGGCGACAAGTCATTTCTCTCTCTCTCTCCCCTCCTTTCTCTCCTTCTCCCTCTCTGTTGCATGCACACAGGTAGGAAGGGTAATACACACACACAAAAAAAATTAATGAAGATGGTTTCCTAAAAGGGGGAGTGGAAGTGGTGGAATGTAGTACCCAGATGAAAGCAATAGGGAAGAAGTAGTAAACCTTTGTGAGACATATAAATATTTTAGATATTTCAAAATAAGTTGAATTTTAAAAGGATGAAAAAGCAACTCTAAAACTAAAACTAAATGCAAATAAGTCAGAAACAAAACTAATCGTACTTCAAATTGCTAATGTAAAAACACACAGAGTAAAATAAATAGTTGGTGTAAATTATTTATTTATTTTAAAGATTTTATTTATTTATTTTTTAGAGAGGAGGGAAGGGAGGGAGAGAGGGAGAGAAATATCAATGTGTGGTTGCCTCTCACCTTCCCCAACTGGGGATCTGGCCCACAACCTAGGCTTGTGCCCTGACTGGGAATCAAACTAGGGACTCTTTGGTTCACAGGCCTGTGCTCAATCCACTGAGCTCCACCAGCCAGGGCGGTGTAAATTTTTTTTACTCCTCACTCAAGGCTATGTTTATTGATTTGAAGTGGAGGTGTAAGGAGGGTGGGGAGGGAAGAGAGAGAGAGAGAAACATTAATCAGTTTCCTCTCCTTCACACAACTGGGTATAAAACTTGCAACCTAGGTGTTGCCCCTGACTGGAAATCAAACCCACAACTTTTTCATGTACAGAATAATGCTCCAGTCAACCAAGCTACCTGGCCAGGGAAATTCTAGTATTTTTTAATTATAGAACCCTGGTAAAATATGTTTTAGGGGCAAAGAGAATTACAAAGAAATACTGTACTTAATAGATTTGATGTTGGAGACAGTACTGATGTAGTAATCCTGAAACTAGGTTAGGTATATTTTAGAATAGAACAAATAAAGGTTCTCAGTGTAAACAGAAGAAACATACAAATATATAAAAGGGATTACAGCTATTTCTCAGTTCTGTCCACTAAAAGAACAGAAAGACAATGAGTCAATAGATATGAGCACACCTAGTGCCCACATTTTGATTCGTATGCACTATTTCCTGATAAAAGAAACCAGTGCCTATTGAAAAAAAAGGGGTGATTCCATATCTGGAACAGTGAACATAGAAGGTGAATGTATACATTCTGTGCCAGAGAGCAAAGAAGTGTTCCAGGTCAAATGGAGATATGTCCAAGGACATAAGAACTTGATGACAGGAGGCTTGCATAATATAAAGTTGGGAATATTTGGCCATACAAAATTTCATTGATCATAATGGATTATAAAACACTAATAATTGATGAGTTCATAGTAAAAACTCATAGTAAAAAATCATAGTTTAAAAGGATGAGAATTGCTATTTACAGGAGAGAGTCAGTTAATAAATGCAGATGAAATGATAGAATTAAAAAACTCCCCATTTTGAAACTACTAGTAAAATAATTGAGAGAAAGATTATAGTTGAGCACTAAAACATTGGGAGAAATGTTACAGAAAACAGGATATTCATATGGTCTCAAAGTATGTGCTACAGATTACTAATTACAAAGAAAAGCGAGTACTTTTACAGAGCAATCTGGCATACACCACAGTAACGAAGTGATTTCATTTAGCATCTGCAATTATGAGACAGACTAACATAATTCTGGTGCTTCCTGATATAATGTAATGCGGAATACACATCACCACTTTACCATTTTGTTTACTCTGTATGTAATCATGAAGAAACAATCTGATAAATCCAGACAAATACAGATTGTGGGGCTCTCCAAACGTGTTAATGTCATAAAAGATGAAGAAGTCAGTGGGGTTTCTGATTACAAGAGAGTAAAGGGACAAGATAACCAATAAGCATAATGTCACATTGGTTTAAGTTGGGAGAAAAAAGAGTTATAAAAATCATTTTGGGAAACAACTAAAAATGTTGAAAATGAATTACTTGTTAAATAATATTAGTGTATCTGTTAAATTTCTAGAGATTGATGTCTAAGAGTGTTACTGTATTAAAAACACACACAGCTATTTGTACAGGTTTAAAATGCTTCAACACAAGGGAAGGAATTTTAATCTCAAATTGAAAATTATAAATTTCACCTGGCTGGTGTAGCTCAGTGGATTGAGTGCAGACTGTGAACCAAAATGTCACAGGTTCGATTCCCAGTCAGGGCACATGCCTGGGTTGCAGGCCATAGCCCCCAGCAACCGCACATTGATGTTTCTTTCTTTCTCTCTCTCTCTTTCCCTCCCTCCCTCCCTTCCCTCTCTAAATAAATTTAAAAAATTAAAAAAATCTTAAAAAATAAAATAAAGTGGGCTAGTTTAAAAAAAAAAGAAAATTATAAATTTCAAACCAAACTCGGCTTAAAAACCAGGCAGTACAAGAACTCATCAGTGACTAGATGGTCTACCCTGCGTTAAAGAAGGGCAAAAAGCAAGAAAACCACAGGCTGTGTTTGTAAGCTCCTTTCTTCAGCTTTTCAACGATTCTGTTTAGAAAAGAATTACATGTACCTTTAGTAAAAAGATGCTCTGATAATTTTTACTCTGATAATTGCAAAGCAATAAAAAAAGAGAAACATTGAAAAGACATACTGGCTTTAAAATATAACTCCTGTTTGAAGTCTAGGTCTAAATAACTTAAATTATTTGCACTGTTTTGCAAAGAACATTAAGGAAAAATATAGAGAGAGTAGAGCAGTAATACTGAAACAATATGCAATTTTTTCATGTCAAATAAAGATCAAACTTGCAATAGTGAGAAAAGGCTATGTAGTATCTTTGTGAAAATTATAATATAGTGATCAAATTCCTAGAATATGTTCCGTTTGGTTTCATTATAAAGAATTATGGGGTGCATCAACCCCTTACTCTCAAAATAAATACCAGAAGAAATACAAGAAGATACTATTTTCTGCTCATATTTACTTTGGAAAAACTGAGATACAGAAAAATAAGATCACAGTCACAGGTTCAACTTGTTCTGAAGGCTTTATTTTTCTTACTTAAAGTTTAGTATTTAAAGATTTTTATTCTCATAAGCTTAATACATCTTGTCATATAAATATGATAGAAATAATCAATTGAACATAGGACAGCTGTGCAAAGGAAGGGAAGAAATAATAATTAAAAGAAAAACAGATACCATTATTAGTTAGCCTGAAGGGACTCGGGACACAACTAAAGAGTGCCATACACTGTTCTATGACAGTCATAAAAGAAAATGCGATTTCCTCAAAGAGACAATGCTTAAGAGTTCTGTCCAGTCGATTATAGCAGGATAAAATAATTTTCCTACTTTCATCCCTTGAAAGGTAATGACAACAAGAACATAAAGTAGAGCAAAATGTCAACTTCAGAAAAATTAGGAATCAACTAAAACTTCAAACTTGAGATTATGATGTGTCCCAAATGCTGTAGATAAATCGCAATGAACAAGGAACTAGATAGCTAACGTCTAAGACCCTTAACAAAGAACAAACTGTTCTTAAAATCAATTGTAAGAATTTAGACATGCCATCCAATGATTCTTTGCTTGGAGTTGAGATGGATAGACCTGGATGGTCCAGGGAAGAAGCTAGTAATGTGGCAGAGTGGCAAAGAAAGAAAAGCTGAAAGAGAAGAAATCACAATAAAATGACATTGACATTCTGTAAGAATTAGCCCTCTAACTTGGGGAGACTATTACACATAAAAGGAAGTGAAAGAGGAAAGAAAAGCAGAGAATAATGAGATTTCCACACAGAAACTACTTAAAGGCTTTACCAGGACTCACACTAAATTCCAGAACAGTTCAAAATTTGACAACAGAAGTGTAGAAGTGTTACCAAGGTAGAAGGAAATAAAAATTGGTGAATAGTTATATTAGATGGCAATGGGGGGTGGGGAATGGAATGAAGATTGCTAAGAGAATCACTTAAAATAGAGTCAGGAGGCTATGTAAGGAAGTGGGGCCTATGTACACCTTGTGCCTCAGTTCCTAGAGCTGTTATTAAGTTGCTAAACTCAACTGAAGGCCAAGTCATTAACATCCTGGAACAAGGACTGCCTATCACCATACGATTTTCAACCTGGTTGCTGAAAGAATTCTCTCATCACATGTAATACTTGACTATTAACAGGAGTATGGACATCTTTTCCCTTAGAGTCTAAGAGAATGTAATTTCAACTCCCTAACAGTTAAGGAGTAGTTACATTTATTCAGTCCTAAAATTATTTTGGCCCTTTGAAGGCAACCATGAGGCTGATGTGGCCCCCGGTGAAAATGAAGTTGACACCCCTGCTTAGACTGTCAAATAAAAAAATGACAACAGCCAACAAAACAATAGCCATCTGGCATGAACAAATCAAAATTATACCTATACTTTTTTTGTCAGATGTGCAAAAAATATATTTCTGGTGTGCTGCAGAATTTTAGTAGTTTATATATGCCATGAAATGAAAAGGGTTGAAAAAATGCTGCCATATATGGATTTTACTTCCTTCCTGCCTTGTTTGCATGCTGAAACTGTACAATTCCCTTTAACCTAGCCAGCAATCCTTCACTTGCATGGAAAAATATTTTGTGGTTTTTATCTTTATACATACCACCTTTCTTTGTTCTCTCACCAGAGCACAGTTTGGGTTGCTACCTGAATCTACCTGTCTCAGATTCAATCCTCTAAATCCCC